GATCCAGTGTAGAGAGAACCCTCTCACCCCCCGCCCCCCGCCCCCCGGCAGAGGGAGAGATGCCGCTTTCCTCCCGAAGGCGAGATCGCGCTCGCTCACGCTTCGCAGCAGTTACGGCGCCTCCTCGGTGCCTCGGGCAGCGGTGAAATCTTCATCCGGGAAGAGACCAAAGCCTGTTCGCGCCTTTCCTCTGGCTCAGGGGTCTGTCTGAGGTCTCTGAAACACGTCGTCTGGAATCTCCTTCAACTTTTTGAAATATGCCAACGTGTCCAGAGCATTTTCCATGGACCAGGCCTTATGTTGGATCCTGGAGTTCGAATGAGAATATCGCCACCGTCTCAGCCCTCGGGGTGTGACAGCTTCATGGAGAGGGAGTGACAGGAACAGGTAGCAGCAGGTACAGTGACAAACGTCACAAGACAGCTGTGAATAGGCTGTGTGTAGGAGCGGACCACGCAGCAGGGCCCTCCGGGGACCCGCCGTCCAGCAGAGGGCCACAGCGGCGTCCCAGAAGGCAGGTCTGTGGCCAGCAAGGCGCTGGCCGCAAGGCGCAGGGCATGTGATTCCGAAGAAGCTCGTGCTGGCCGCTGTGCCTGGCCCAGTTCCCAGGCATTCGGTGTCACGAGATGACGTGACACGGCGCTGGACGTCGCCGACCCTCACGTGCGGTCAGGGCGGAGCCAGTCGTGGCCGCCGTTTGGCACCTATGTGACGCCTGTTTCTCCGTATGCACGGCAGCCGAGCTTGGCTGGCGTTGGCCGTGCGTGGTCAGTGCCCACGTGGAATCGGGTTAAACCCATAGAACGTCTCCCTCAGTCGGGACATGCCGATTTTTAAACTTTTTAATGATGATAAATGCTACTTTGCTCTGAGTTCCCCGCACACGCCGAGCGGCCAACAGCCCTGGCCGTTCCAGCCACTGCCACCGCCGTTCCCGTTCAGGCTGCCAGAGGAGAGAATCCCACTGACCAGGACGCCCGCCCCGGTGTGGTGACACAGGCCTCCCCGGCGTGCGGTGGCCGCGGCGGGGGTGACCGCGGCGGGGGTGGAGCTGACGTCGGGGCGACAGAAACTCTGCGGCAGGCAAAGGGAAGCCGTCGACAGTGACCTGTGCTGGAGGCCAGCCTTACACGCCTTTCGAAGTCCAGGTGGGTCTGAGAAACAATCCACGATGACATCGAAGGGAGCTGTAATTCCGTGACTACCCCGAGGGTGTAGCAAAAGGGCTACAGCACCCCGTTTTGTTTTGCTTTGCTTTTTTCAGCCAGGGAGGGGCGGTCAGAGGGACAGATAAATTGAAATGGTTTCTGAGTTTGCCGTTAGGTCACATTTTACTCGTTATCATTATGCCCGGTAGGAGTTACATAGTAGACATTCGATAGATTTGGGAATGAATGAATGAATGAATGAACGAATGAACAGATGGCTGAATTAATGCATTCCATAGGGGAACGGACCGGCACCCCCAGCACGCGTCACACGGGCCAGGGCGTGAGGACATAGCTTTAACAAGCCCACGACCGGCCGGCCTCAGACTCGGAGACCACGTGTGTTTACGGGGCTCTTAGCCGAAAGGCCGAGAAGCCCAGAGGCCAAGCGGGCGGCCCCTGCTCCAGGATTCCGTGGGGCGGTGGCGTCACCTCGGAGCAGGCGCTCGTCTTCGCCTTCACTGTCTGAAACGCGGAGAGAAGCTATTCTGATTTGGGGGTGGGGGAGGCATTTTTCCCACACCAGTCGTGTCTTACAGTGTAGACCGTGACCGTTGAGCAGCGCTGAGGAGTAAATACTGGTGTCGCCTAAGGTCGCAGGCGCCCGAGACCGGTGGAGACACGGCACTGAACCCTCACACGAGCAGGTCACGGTTATGCGCGGGCTGGCTGCTCGGTGCCATCGCAGAGAGAGCGCTCGTGGGGGGCGCTGGAAACGAAGCACGGTGGAAAGAACCCTCAGAGCAGGGGACACCCAGGGCGCGAGGGCGCACGCAGCCGCTGGCCCGTCTCCTCTGGCCCCACCCAGGGCAGCGAAAGCCACCTGCGTTCTTGGAAGGGCCTCGCTAATGGGGATTAATCAGACCCGCGGGGAAAAGGAGATACCGTTTTAAAAATGATTTAATTACCAGAAGTATCTACATGGAAATCAAAGCCTGACAGGCTTCAGCGGCCGTGTGCCGTGTCGTGCTGGTCCATCCAGACCTGGGCCGTCTGCCTTGGGAGAGATGGTGATTGAGGGTTGCAGCACTAATGAAGGGGACCCAGAGGTGCATGACCTGGAAATTGAACATAAAACCTCAAGGAACTGTACTATTTGGTACTATTTTTAGCAGCTGTCGTGGATTGAACACGTGCAAC